CGTCGGAGACACTTGTCGCTCCCTCAACCCCTAGAGTTAGCCACCACACCTTGGACTGATATCTCAATGGATTTCGTAGTAGAAATGCCTAAGGAGAAATCAGGATTCCGCAACGTATTGGTAGTCGTGGACCGTTTTACGAAGATGGCTCACTTCATTCCAATGACGGGAATCAACGCGGAACAAACCGCCAACGCATTCGTCAAAGACATCTGGCGTTTCCACGGACTTCCTAGGAGCATCGTCTCAGACAGAGGAACGCAGTTCGTGTCAGCATTCTGGGCGGCAATTACGGACAGACTGGGGATTCGTAGAAGACTCTCCACCTCATTCCACCCCCAAACCGACGGCCAAACAGAGCGGACCAACCAACACATGGAAGGTTATATTCGGGCATATACGGCAGGAACAGGCAAGAAATGGAAGGACCTGTTACCTATCTGTGAATACGCCTACAACAATGCGAAGCATACGTCGACGGGGCAATCGCCGTTCTACTGCAATTATGGCTTCCACCCTCGAACGGATTGGCCCACGGATGCAGAGATCGAACGATTAGACGCCAACGGGAACAACTACTTGGATGAGATCATTACGGCTCATGAGTTAGCGAGAGATACGCTACAGAAGACCTTTGATAGGATGGCGTCAAAGCTAGGACCGGCAGTACAGCGGTTCACTATCGGTCAGAAAGTCTTGCTGGATACTCGGAACCTCGGGGGGTACTCCAAGTGGTCAGACAAGTTTACAGGGCCATTCACAGTGTCGGCAGTGGTGGGCAATCGGGCTTACCGCCTGGAGCTTCCAGTAGAATGGAAGGTTCATGATGTTTTTCACGAGATGTTGCTGCGACCCTATCGTGAGGACCCAGACCCCACCCGAAAACAGAATACACGAAAGCGACTGGCAACACCCGAGCCACAGGAGGCATTGGCAGACAAGAACTTCCAGCCAACCTCGAACATACGACCCCATACGCGAAGTCAAGACCCAGCGATCGATAATGACCGGGCTCATAAACGACAACGGAACAGGCGAGACTAAGCTCGATACCTTTCCCTACTCTACGACTTTTCCCACAGGGTTTTTATCATAGAAAGGGTTTTAACGGTCGAGGGCGACGTCTAGGAAGGGGGAGTAGTGTTACAGGAACTACGGAAGCACTGTTCTACAGGCTTAGGACAGTGAGAAATACGAGTGACGGGTTGTGATGTAAGGCCGGTCGGGTAACGGAAGGGCAAGCATAGAAAGGTATCGGGTAGTGTGGGGGCACGCGGTGTCACCACGCTAGACCATACTATTATGACGGCACGCTTACTGTTGGGTGTCTCACCCAAAATAGAATAGTAAGCGGGGCTTACGGCTGTAGGCTGTTCTACTTAGAGAAGTAGGTCTAGGATAATAGTATGGTACAACCCGATGACTGGCAATTGCAAGGTCCATAGTTACGTGTCGGAATTAGAATGGAGGACGGGACTATGCGGGGGCGCTTTTCTATCTGGGTTATCTTCGGGAGCGTTATCTTATTCTATTATCGTTGTATCAGTTAGTATTAGAAAGCGGGCCTTGGCATAGGTCCCAACATGTATAAATAGGGCTTGATTCTGCGAAGACTTGAGGGTATCATCAACCATCAAGTCAAGGGAATCCGGTTTACAATATCATCAGTTTAAACGCTACAGAATTATCGCTTAGCACTGGCCATTTTCCCTTAACACAATGAACCACCATTCCGCCCAGCCCACAATACACCCTGCCCGGACAAGTCAAATCAGCCACAGGCCATCTGACGCCAGCACATCACTGTCCTTATCCCCTCATCTGCGGGATTCGCGTCAGACTCAGGTATACGCTACTACCTTTTCCGGCGACAAGTGGAGCCGACCGACTTGAAAACCCCCACAGATCACCCCAGCCCCTGCGGCGTTTCTACCCATCGCAGACATGGAAGCGCCTCCGCGCGCGCCTGAAAGTAAAGTCTATAATAATGCCCGTGGACTCGGAGAATCTGCCGTTATCTGCCGCCGAGCTTGACATTCCCTCTTCTGTCACATTGGTGCTTCTACTCCCGGCTTGTAATAGCTAAGGCGACGGTCTCACTGGCCGCGTAAGGTTGCGGTTCAGGGCTGGTGAGGTGGAATGTCTGTTCTCGCTGGTGAATGCTAGAGAGGTCGTTTTCGAGTGATGTATATATACCAGCGGACGTGGCGGCGGTCAAGTATCCCCCCCCCCCCCTACTTTACCAATTATTGAAATGAATCAAAAAATGAATTTTATACTCATGTAAAACTTTGGTGTGAAATGAATCATCGGAAATGTGTTTATTAAGTGACCAAGGAAATGGATCCCGAAATGAATCTTAAATCTCGTATGTTACTTTCATGAACACATTACCAGTACCTGAACATTATATATAAGTTTATATTCCTAAAAAATAAAAATAAAAAATGGTTCAGGTCGGGGTTGAACCTGGAGGACTGTGATTACACAGTCCAGATCCTATCACCTACACTATTGATTAATATACTAAGCTCTGTACTCCCAGAATATCAGAGGGAACCGAGGCTTGAAAGTCATTAAAAGGTATTAAAAAAAGTATTAAAAAAGGCATTGAAAACGGCATTGAAAAAGCTAGTAATTAAAGACTGCTACGAGCAGCGGAGTACCCGCCGTCACAGGTAGAAGACTTCTGTATGAGAAAAGGCATTATAAAATTCGGCATTATAAAAGGCATATCATGTATACATATACAAGTACTTTACTTACAAAAATGGGTGTGTGTAAGCGGCGAAGCTGTGCAAACGAATCAATAAAATGGGTTTTTGGCTGTGGAAATGAAAATTTTGTGCCTTTTCCACAAGCGTCCCTGGGAAATGAATCAATTGATTCGTTTCCTAAAATGCGCTTGGTGGGAAACGAATCAAATGATTCATTTCCATGGCTGGTAGAGCCAGCTGCAGGAAAATCGATCCTTAGGCGTTCCAGCTGCCCCGGCCAAGCTCGAAGCTCCCGGCGTGGCTTTCTGAGTTCTGACCCCCACACTCGCACCTACAGAAGAGTGGATTAGAGAAACATACCGAAACGTCCATACCCGTTATTGTCCCAAAACCGATAAGTAGCGAAACCTGCTGCTATCTCCACCCTCCATCCGATGCTTTCTCAAAAGATGACAAAGGCAAGCGACCCTCGTCCTCTTGGCTCAAGCGCTACCATTTCCGTCTTTTATCCGCCCGGCGCTTTCTATGCTGCAGGCGCGGACAACGATCGACGGGAGGTAAGGGCGAAGATAAGAGCAGTGCCAAGACGCCAAGACGCACCGCACTCGGCGCGGAGAATGCGCCTACGTTAAAGGCGATACTACCTCATGCGGAAGCACTAGGGCATAGATGTAGGGCCGGACTTTCGACGAGGTGAAAGTTCGGGGGGGGGGGCGCAATTCGGTATCGACCTTTTTTGCCCGGCGGTGTTTTTGGACAAGGGGGGGGGTTACACCAGATTGTACCGGTAGGTAGGTTTTCCGGTCTCGTTATATATGAAATTATGAATGATACTACTCCTAACTATTCGACTTTATTGCTTCGTTCAGCCGTTAAATGTACGACACTTGTGGTATGGCCATGGCCCCATGGCGTTTCAAACGCTACACAGCTGCAGCTTCATGGACGCCTGATCGCCGTGTGGCAAGCACGCAGACAAAGTTCCTTTACACTTGTACTTACCCTTGACCGTGTAAGTTCATTCTATTCTACCAGGGTGGCGCCTGCTTTGTCGATGATCTAGGGCGACCACGAAGATGTTTTTCCTCTCTTTCATTTGTGTGTGTGGAGGGGGGGTACTGTGTCGCAATCTGCTGTAATTAAGGAATAGCACCAGTGTACGGTCACGCCGGTGGAGAATACCAGTGGAGACGTGATCTTTGAAGACGACGGTAATCCCCGTCGCACTCACCACCAAAACCGTTGCCAAGGCGTTCCTGCATTCCAGTAGCGCTAAAGTGATCCCCAGCAGGGATAGACAGATATGTGACGTCAACAGACCCCGCGCGACAACCCACCTCGGTCACCCGCGGACACAACTTCCACTCCCACACACACCACACAGCCCTAGAATCGTGACCTAGAGCATATCTCCGCATAGGGAAATATCGTTTTCAACCACATTGGGGTGTAGCGGCCACGTTTGAGCAGAAGCTCTGGACACGGGCGGACTGGGAGAGGTGGGGATGGAGATCATGGGGGGTGGAATGGTCGGTGCTAGTTGTGGTCTGGTCCCGATCTCATTCCACTGGACTGAGGTTTGCTAAATCAACTGCGGACAGCGATACGTCCCGGGTGTTCAGTCATGGCAAAGAATAACCCTCAACCCGCTAAGGAGTGATGATCTTTGGCATCTTCCAAGCTTTAGCTCTCGATCTCAAGATGTTTCTGAGACTTCAAAGCTGGAGTTCTTCCCACACCCGCACGCTATAAAGTATGCAAGAAGAAATCTCGGTTACCCTAATCTCTTAAAAGCCGTTTTCTTTTTTCAATGGAATACTCGGCTTCTATTATTTGTGAAGCCTTTCCCCGGACATTGACGGAAACTCAAAGTCATCTGATCTGACCCGAATAAACGGTGGAATTGGCGACCCCTGCGGACACCCGAAATCAGATAATCCAGATAAATCACCTAAACGCATTTTAATGCTAGTTGTCTAGCGAGGCAAACCGCTACTTCTCCTGGTCCAAGAGGAATGGCATGCCAAAGGTTGACTGATTGCAAATGAACATATTGTGGGTCCCAGCAAGTTGAGTTACATATTCACGGTCTCTCATATTCATATTTCCTAGGTCTTGTAATTTCTTATATTCGTGAAACCTCATCCTAAAATATGTTTATTTCAAAATAGATAACCTCCACCACATCTGCAACCTTCCTGACACGTTCGCCATATGATCCAATGCGCCCCCCCCCTTACCCGTCGGCAAAGGCGCCCACCCAACCCCCACTACACCTCCCCGCTACACCCCCCCGCTCGGTGGGTCAACGCAAAAAATCGACAAATAACTATTAATCACATTAGTAACACCGGGGTTATCCCGCACCTCCTCCAGCATCGCCATCATTCGATCAATCTTCGCCTCCAACGACCTCAGTATCTTCTCCATCTCGGCAAGATCATCTCTACGTGTGCTCCGCTTTGAGACTCTGTATCTACCACTAGTGTGTGGCCCTTTCCGGAGGAGGCTGAGGGCCGTGGGAGAGGGAGGGGGGGTGTTTGTTAAACTGGGTGGTAGGGTGGGCTCTTGGACTACTGTCTTGGAACGGAGTTTTGTCTCTGCGATAGCACTCTCTTCGGTGTCGGCGTCTTCCGCGTACGGGGTGGAGTCTGGGATAGTGTTCTCGGCGGTGTCAGTGTTTCCGGCGGTGTCGGTTTTCTCGGCAGTGTCGGCACCCCCGATATTCTTGCCACTCTCGGAGATCCCAACCTGAAGCTTTCCGGTAGCCAAACACCTGCCGAACATCAGCAAAACAGCACACACACACCAAGAGATCCCTAGAAACACCCCCGACCTCATGCCTTTGCGCGCGTTTCGAAAAGAAACTCGGGCGCTTCCACGGCGGTTTACCAGTAGAGGGAAAGCACTGCTAGGCATTGTGGTATCCCGCTGTTGAGAGGCTCCCATGTGGTGTCTGTGCTTAATTAGTTCCTATCTGTCTCGTGGAGGGATGATCAGAGGTACCTTTAAATTCTGTCTAATTCTAGTGAGTTGAGGAAGTTGGGATGGGGTTGGAAGCTAGCTGCCTGGCTATGACACTGCACTCGGAGAGTAGTTATATTTGTGTGTAGCTTTGCGTAGTTGGCCGCCAAGTGAAAATTTGAGCGAGAGAATTGCATAGCAGGCGTGGCAAATAAGGCGGCAGCTACATAGTTCCTAATATGATGGAATGGGCTGAGGCACAGGAAGAGTGGGGAAGCGCCACCAACACACGCGGGTGTTTGCAGGTATCGCTTTATCTTGCAAAATGATGCTGCCTATAGGTACCCACTCGCGAAAAAGCAAAGTTGGTTCGTAGCTTTACTAATAGATCCCACTGTGTTGCTTATCAGGTACAGTCGCACCTCGCTATGCCGGATGGCCAAGATTCACCAAGGCTTGTACGGGATAGCAAATATTCCCAAGAAATTCGGTATAGCAAATTGATTTTGCAGTAGAAAAATAGAATTCTCAAGAAATTTCATACGGGACAACAAGGGATCCGGCATATTGAGTTCCGCCATAGCGAGGTGCAACTGTAACAGGTCTTCTATGCAAATTTAACTTCTCTATTGTAGGAGGGCAGTACCGACAGACGAAGAGAATCAGATTACTGTATCCCAATGTGTTTGATCACTTGTAAAATATTCATCGCTGCATGACAAACACGCACCTCGCGCCTTGGCGGCATAGGAGGGTATGTATCGGCGGATGTTTGGGCTCTTATTCCTTTACCTGTCAGCTAATTCCTTCCCTCCCCCCGCCAGAAAAGAAGATGAACAGTAAAAAGGAAAGAGCAGAGTTTAAAGGAAAACCTGAGATCATTATCTCTCTTCGCACGACCCTAATTCCACGATTCTCGGATAGCTGCATAAGCAAACGAAGGGCTAGCCGGCTATTCCTTCACCCTCGAATATTTGTTTCCTGCCGATTTCTAATTCGGCCTGTTCAACCGCTACAAACGCCCCACCGCCGATGGGTGACACATACTGCCCCCTCAGGTAACGTGATAAAGGTCTGTTATCGTATCAATCGATTGACACGTGCTTCCGGAAAACAGGCAGCCAGCTTCTAGGTATGTAGCCTCGAGCGATCGGTTCCAGTTAGTGTGGGGGTCCTGATGATTTATCTTGGGGTCGGGTCATGACGATTTTGATGAGGCCGGGTTTTCGACCGGTCATAATGTAGGGCGTATCAATAACAGGAAAGGCAATTCTATTAGAAAAAGATACAGACTTCTCCACAAATTGATCATACGACCCTGGGAGAGGATACGACCCTGGTCATTACCTTCTACGACCTTGCGTCCTTGACCCGGTACTAACACTGACCTGGTCCTAGTCCTATTCCTAGTCCTGGTCGTGGTCCTAGTCCGGTCGCTACGAGTGGTGGGTCATTACCAACGCTGTTACCAGTACCTTAGTGTTCTCCGGTCGGCGGTCCCTTGACGTGACGGACCAAAAAGCTAACATACACTATAATTCAAAAATGAAATATTTTTAAACGCCACCGCTGAATCATATGGTATCACTCGAGTCGCGCACATTCCGACACCCTCTGATAAGAATAGGACTTTCAGGATTGCTTCTCTACGGGGATCGAAAAAAGCGTGTTAAGCCTGAAACGCCGACAATTTCCCCCAGTTAGAAATGATTCCTACATCTCCACTCATAATAAATACTCTGATGAAAACACCCGTTCTGACCTTAATTTCTTATATGATCATAATTTCGAAAGAGAAATCTCCCCAGCTAATACCCTCGCCTATCTCCGTTATTCGGTGGCTTCGTGTCGGTAGCATTCACCACTCTGGCCGAGTAAAATCGTGCCACACCAACAAATAATCACCTCATCGTACTCAGAACAGCTTGCTTCATCCTCACTATAAAACTCATACTCCCCGTCCTCTCCCACAGTGTTGTACCAGATACCAAAGCCATGTGTGATATCGTACCAGCAGCGGACTGTCTTGGGCCCTTTGAGAATATAGTATTCCACGGCTTTTCGCACCTTTTTAGCTCGGAGGTTCATTCTGCGTTCTTGATTCTCCTTGGGGAGAGTTTTGGTAAGGCCTGCACAGATGGAGGTTAGCCTTAGTGACGACTGAGTGCGGGTAAGGGGGTGAGGGGGTAAGGGGGGAGATATCGCCGACCTGATTGCATTTCGTGCTGAGCGCTGTGTTAAAGGGGGTGGAGGGTACCAGCTAATGAGAAAAGCTTTGGAGATACCTAAGAGAGTGAATTCGGAAGATCAATCAGCGGGTTGTGCCAGATTCTTATATGCAGACCCCCACAACGTGATTCTGTATCCACCACTCTTCTTTACGGAGACGCGCAACCATATCGGAGAAATAGATATATGACTATTGATATATCAGATACGACTCTGTATACATTAGGGGCCCGTGACGAACTCGGAAGTTTCAAACTGAGTTACTAACAGACAGTTTTAAACTGGTTAAAGACTGGCCTGAGGAAAGCTGGGTGTTATGGTTATGAACTAATCACTGGTGTAAACCGAATTTTGTACAGGTTAGGGTAATTCGAGGTGTAAAATCGGATTAGAAAATGTAATTTGGGGTGGATTAGGGTAATCTTGGGGTAAATTTGGAGTGGAAATCAAGGTTAGTTCATGACATCTGACAGTTAAAAACTGCTGTTTATGACAGGCTGAGCTCGTGACGCTGTTTTTGACTCGAGTGCTGAGTTCGTTACGGGGCACTAGTATACATCAGCCTCCATCCGCCGCCAAGCTCTGATCTACCTTGGCGACCAGGCGAAAAAAAAGAAATTATCAGCTTCGATATCAATTCTGGAATCATCAAACTATAAGACTATGAATAACTAAAGTAACACCTCCGGCAGAGAATGGTCCCAGTGCCGATTCATAAGGAACTGCTTGGCTAATGTTCATAAAAGGTACATAGTGACGTAGATCTCCTCCACCCCCCCACGACGTCGTAACATGAGGTCATGAGAAACCTATATCGTTTTGTCCAATGTAAACTATTAGGAATCCTACCAACGCCGGGGGAAAGCCCACAAAAAGCAAACACAATCATCACTATTGAAACATCAAACAAGAGAAATCAATAGAAACTCTGGGGGGGGGGGGGTGTCCTGATATGAAGCTTCTCTCTTCTGTCTGTTATACAACCTCTGACACATCACATATCACTCCCGAATAACAATCAGAGAGCCAGTGCGTTCAGTCAGCATCCAGGGCAAACCAACAGAACCTTAATAGTTCATTCCCGGAACAATGGGAAACAAATTTACTGTTATGTAATTACTATTTATAGTTTAATAAATAAAAAAAAAAAGGGCGCTTCAGAGTGAATAATAGACCGTAAGACGGGTGGTGTTGTGACTAGAGGCCTGAAGGGGCGACTGCAACGCCTGAAGTATCGCTTGGTGGTCTGGGACATGCTTGGAATCCGGCGCTCTGCAGCCTTCCTAACCTTGGACAAAAGGGTGCTGTCTATGTGAGTTTCTTGTTGAAATCCTGACTGTATTATTATCTTATTATAAAGCGAGAAGCACCGGGTTTGTGGAATGTGCAGAAGACCTGATTCTGAGTATGTCTCGGCCCGCCAGGTGGTAGCTTCTTCTACTCGGGGAATAGATAAGTAAAGCAGTGGGGTTTATTAGTGGCCTCTACTGCTGTAAGGTCTACCAGTAGGCTCCACTGGTATCAATGGCCTTCGCCGATGCCTCTCGCGGGTGAGTGGATCCTCAACTCCGCCTACCCAAAAGGTGTTATCTCGCGTCCCTGAAACCTTATAACTAATGGTGCAGAGGAAAGCCTCCCAAACGTGAAGGTAGGGGGTTGACATGTAAGAACCCAGATACTGCTAAGATGCCAAGCCGGAGCGCTCGCGGCGTCGGGGAGTGATCAAGTTTTCTGCGCTTGCGGAAGTGTTTTGTAGGGCATAATCATAGACCTGGGCCTCTGGCGAGCGAAAGTTCTTCCTTTTATGACTTCCAAGCGTGGTTTAGGGATAATGTTAGCGTAATGATCAAAGAGCTAGAGCTACATGATGATACCGTAGTGTATGTTGTGAGAATACAAAGTTAAGAGGATACCTTTAAGAGAGTCTCCGCGATACATCCAATACTAACGCACTTGGGACGCAAGGTTTGCCAAAATGATGATATACACTAGTTGTCGTGATCACTGTGACGTAGATTCCCGGGAGAGGTGAATATATACCTACATTTATGTAGAGTATGTGTTGGATGATCCCTGTGCCGATCATGCTTTGGCAGGGACCACGAGGAGGGAATTATGCAGGAATGTCTTAGCAACAGTTTCGGAACTACATGAATACCAGAAGGGAGAGGAGGTAAGATACTCCAGGTCATCAACACGGACGTTCGAACACACTTCCAACATCATCAAAAGACTGGATCCTTCCGGACCTTGCCCGCCGCACCCCGCTGCACGAGGACCACGCATGGGATGCGCTAAAACAACAACCGACCTATAGTGAGCACGACACCACTCCCCGGGCACCACTAGTGCTCTCTGGAATATTATGGTAGGGGGTGTAAATCGGTTCGCACCGCCACCTGCCAACCGCGGCTTTTAGCTGGTCACTGGTAGGCCACGTATCGCCACAAGTACTGTGGACGTGGTTTGATCCACGGTCTATCGTACTAACTATACCCGGCGGGGGTGATGAATAACTTCTCCATCCCGCCGTCATGCCAAATCGCTGTCGCATCTTGGTGCAAACCCTATCCGAACGCTATTACTCCATATAGTAGTGCGTTCTAAGACAGGGCGTGACTGTAGGGCTCCTTTAGGATGGAAGCTCTTCCCCCGTGCAGTGCAAAGTAAGACGACATCCGCGGTTGGGTTGGCATCTACGCCATTGATGTTAGTGCCCCGTAACG